GAAGAGGCAACAACAGGAAGGAAAAAAAAGGGAAGCCGAAACCTGTGGAACAAGAAGCTACCTAGAAAAAGTATTTGATTTTGCCTCTTCCCGGTTGCTCGTCTCTCTCTCTCGAGGTCCCAGTGGGTCGTAATATATACTACATACGCATTCAGGGGTGCGTGGGACGAGCGTCACCAGCGAATAGTAAGGAGCGTACGTCACTCAAGTGGGAGATTGTCCCAGAGCGACTGTGCAGGCACTGGAAGTGTCCCTGCCGTCCGAAACAGTATGGAAGTTAAAGCAAAGAAGAAAGCATGGCTAGATTTACTAGCAACCAAGGCTGATAATTCTGGCGGTACGAATGATGATATTGAAATAAAAAAGACAGTCTTTAGACGTCGTAAAAGAAGTAATTGAAAGTAAAAAGTACGAAAGAACTGATAAGAATGATAGAAGAATATTGGATAACTTCCAGGCAAATATAAATTTTTCCTGCTAAGAAAATTAAAAATTTTCAATAATAGGGAAGTTATTGGTTTCACCCCGATTTTCGAAAATCGAGTTTTCATCAGATCTCGACGTTTTGAGATCCCAGGAAGCTGTTCTGACTAATTTCACGTGGACGTCCGTACGGATGTATGTGTGTGTGTGTGTGTGTGTGTGTGTGTGTGTGTGTGTGTGTGTGTGTGTGTGTGTGTGTGTGTGTGCGTGTGTGTGTGTGTATGTTTGTGTGTGTGTGTGAGTGAGTGAGTGAGTGAGTGAGTGTGTGTGTGTCTGTGTGTGTGTGTGTGTGTGTGTGTGTGTGTGTGTGTGCGTGCGTGCGTGCGTGCGTGCGTGCGTGCGTGCGTGCGTGCGTGCGTGCGTGCGTGCGTGCGTGCGTGCGTGCGTGCGTGCGTGCGTGCGTGCGTGCGTTGCGTGGATAATTTGAACTCATTCGAGCGGGAGATTTCGAGAAATTTCTAATTTAAAAATTTTGAAAAACTGTTTTTGGTATAACTTTTAAACGGCTTTGCCGATCGATTTCAAAATCTAATCATTTTTTAACCTCAAAAAATGACGTCGAATACCGTTTAGAAAATAAAAATCAGTTCATTCGTTCGTGAGATATCTAAGAAAAAAGAATTCGAAAAAACAATTATTTTTAACACAACTTCGAGATTTCGCAACATAATTTGGTGAAATTTGGAGCGCTTTCTATTTGAAATTAGCGGTATGTTCCAGGGATGGCCTGCAGGGTCAACCAATTATATTTTAAAGGAGACAGGGCAAACGAGCATACGACCATTGCGCGCCATAATTAATGCCTGGTACATGGCACTAGCGCCATCTAGTATCGAGTAGCGTAACTAACCCTTCTAAAGAATTCCATACTAGAACTTTCTACACCTAGTCAATCGGGACCTGTATGTACTCTAACATTCCAGATGTTTCAGTACAAGAGGGCCTATATAAGACCGGTAAGGACCGCGACCGGGTCAGTATTGGATTGGCGATTCAAGCGAATACTTCTAAGCGATTTAACTGCGAACTAAAGTGTTTTATTAAAAGTGTGTTTTAAGTTGTAAATGGTGTTCGGGAATTAAAGTGTCAATTTTGGTTATTCAACCGACAGTTTTTATTGTCACGGACTCCAAGCTCGTAACGGTATGGTAGCGAAAGTTGGATGTGGCAGAATAAGCACGATGTTAGAATGATTATAAAACGATGGAAGATGCAGGTGTCTATGACTACATCAAAATCATCCACTTACTATCCGTTAGACTATGTGCTCGTTTTTCACCCTTACTCACAAATAGTATAGTAATAAAAGCGGAGCACACTCCTTTCAAAAATATAAACAAATATACTTATTTAATAAGAGCAGAGAAAAACGATAAAAAAACCAGAAAGTTTGGTTCCACCACACCCCCCCCCGACAATCTAAATTTTGCCACATTATCTCCTTCCTCACTTCCCATGCCACTCTACGAGTGTGTGGCCGGAGGGTGGCATATGGGGTAAAGATTCGTCACAGAGTGAAATAACCACTTACTACTGCACTGCTAAGTTATGATTGCAGAGCAAACGTTTGAAACGTACCTTACTGATTTCAATCGGTCATTTGGTGTAAAAGATTTGTACAAGAATTTTGAGAATCATTTGCAGCACGGAGGCAGCAATCGTGGGAGTCATCTTGATACTGAATTTTACATTTAAGGCATTCAGAAACAAAACGGCTCTTGAGAAACAGAGAATTACGTAAGAAGTATTCTGAAAGACTTACTTAATAATGAATTAAATAAATATTGGAATTTTAAACGTACTACTGGTACTAGTATTTTTTGTACTGAAGATGAAAATCTGAAGTACTGATAACCTTAATATCTTCCGCCGGCCTTCACGCTCGAACGTTTCATCGGTTACAGATGATATTGTTGCAACTTAGGCGCGCAACAATATGCAAAAGTGAAAATTAAGTGCATCTCTGTTTGCGTTAATCCTTGCAGAATTACCTATAATATTTCCAGCGCAAATCACGGTCATATCTGAAACTATGATTACTAAGAGCGTTTATGATTTTATTTTTACATAATTAATTATGCCGTGCCGTATTAGAAGAAAATCCATCATTCTATTTCGTCCCGTGAGTGTCGAAAGATTTCGCCTATGTTGTCTTTGGACCAAAAACATATGCTGTAACTTATACACAGTAACCTTATAGAAAGGACTTGTAAAGGGCTGTAATGATGATGATGAAGAATAAATATCACATTCAGAAGATTACAACTAGAATATCGCCTAAATAATTATATTAAAATCTTAATCCCTTATTTTTCATGCTTAGGGATGTAAAAACTAACAAAAAATATAATGATTTCCGCATAATAGCTTCTGATTCTGAAGTCAGGGTAAAGCCCTTCATTCTTCTGATAAAATTATATTCTTTACTTTTGTTCTTAGTACCAACTTCACGTAGCCATTATGTGAAAATTATTTAATACGATTTTGTTTTAGAATATTTACTTTTTTAAAGATTAATTTTCAAAGCAACTGCGGTTTATTTTTTAACGTACATTTTATTTAAACTACTAAGAGTAGAACTTCTTTTTTACCTAGACAGGTTCCACCTTCTTACCTAATGTTACTTGCTTGGGCTTCGTGGCAATAAAAACTACCGACTGAATTACCAAAATTGACACTTTGATTACCGAACACCAATTAAAACTTAAAACATACTATAATTAATCACACTTAACATTTTAGTTCACTTTATTTCGTTCCGATGTCTTCGCATGAATCGCCAATTCAATACTGCCTCGGTCTTTGTCTCTAATGTCTTTATATAGGGCATTTTCTACTGAAAACATCTTGAATGTTCGAGTAGAATGTCGAAAGATCTAGCAAGGTATTTTCTAGAAAGCTCTCCTAGTTCTGCTACTCGATACTAGATGGCGCTAGTGAAATATACCAGGCATCAACTATGGTATTAACACGCAACACTATTAATGTCAGTAAGAACAATGGTATTTGTACTGCTATTTTGTCTGGTCGGGAGGATATATAGAGCCAGGTATAGTAATTACCTACAGGCATTCCAACTTAGTCCTTAGAGTAGATTACGCATTTGTAATCTTCTTTAGAAAAAGTGGCAGGTGCCCATGGACATGTACTGCAGTAACCACTTACCATCAGGTAGACTCTAAGTTCCTATATCACATCATTTTTATAAAAAGAAGTTAAATACCGTAAATCCTACTAGGTAGTACTTTCCTATATCATAACAATAAATTCGCACTCAATGAAATCTACTCATTATTAACTGACATAAAACTTATCCTTTTACTTCACTTTATCTCATTATCATCCAGTTACAACGAAACTTAAAAAAATAAATTTTGTATGAATTCAGTGCAAAGATTTATTGAACAATGAGTCTATTGACTTTGGAAAAGTTTAATAACTAAGTCTAGACATCTCTTATTTGACTTCTTAGTATGGAACTTGATAAATGCTTCGCTAAGCAATATTTTTATTATAACTGTGCACTATTACATATTATCATTCTCTGTATATAATATTGAAGCGACAGTAGCCTAATGGCAGGGCGCGGACCGCGAACTCAAAAAGGTCGTGGGTTCGAATCCACCATTCGACTACTGGCGTGAACCACTCGTAACACAAGCAATTTAAGCTTACCACGAGTGGTTAAGGGGAGTATTAGTAATGTTTATAGCATTGTTAATATTCTTTAAAAAAATATCTAATAAGTCAAATATAGTTAGTAATAAAGTTAGTTAATAAACTACACACATATTCTTTACTGGTCCCGGATGGCTAGTTTTAGGGGCATAGTAGTCAGCTGGCAACATTCAAAAATTTAAGACCCGCTCTATCTCAAAAATTTATAAAGTTCAAATTGAATTGAAATGCTACGAACACTACAGGTTTTATTTTTTCATTTTTATGTAGTATGCAAATGTTATTTAGATCTTAGCGATTCTATATTTTTAAGTTACTTTAAAATTTTTCGAAAGTAAGAGGCAAGGGTCATTTTAGCTCTAGCGTCCCCAGACGGCAGGTGTAAGTGTAGGCGATTACGGGTAATTTACAGACACTCCAACACGTTTATTTTACTCTAATTATACTCTTTATCTTAAATTTGCTATTGGATTTCCTATTGTAATCTAATTAAACTGACTAATGTAATGGCCGACACATACGGTCAGTTAAACTGATCAGTTCGAAGTTCAAACGGATGTAAACCAAAACGATTTCCCCACTTACTGGCTTATAATTTCAACTTAAGGTTTATATCATACTTACGGTCTGTATTTGGATTTACGTCGGTTCAACTGATCGGTTTAACTGACCGTGTATGTCGAGCATAAGTTTAAAAAGAATTTTGAATGTTGTTAGAACTCTTGTATAATTGCTGAAATTGCATGATATAATGATCGCGCGATCATTATATCATTCAATCAACGTACGTATTTCAATTATTTTTTCTATATAATTAAAAAGTAATTTCATTTGTCTAGGAACAGTGACAGCAGAACGCCAATGCTACTGGTGCGGCCCTCTAGCGGAACAAGTGCATCGAAGTCGCCGAGCTCCATCTTGCGATACTCCAACAAAACATGTCACAACTTGCGAACCCGGACTTACACACTGCGCTGTGATTGCGACATCTCCTCGTTAGTGTTCGTTTAAAAAAAAACATATATATTTAAGATATTTAAGTTTACATAGGAAAGCTTTGGTGAAGCTTCATTATATACCTATCGTGTAGTGGCGATTATATTGACCTTGAAGTGGTAGAGCAAGAATATCAACTACGTCCCACGGGTGTATTAAGAGGCGAGAAACAAACCAGATGGGCAGCAGCGTCTTCCTAATTATAAAAAATAACAATCTGTGGTTGCCAACTCGCCTGCCAAGCGTGGCATCTGTGGCAACTACCCTTCCCCCCCCCCCCCACTTCAGCACTTCAATATACCGACAGTCAACTTGGCACCGCTGAAGGGACTGCAGCACCACCCAAATTTCGACGAAATCAAAGGCTTTCTCATAGTCCTCATACGCAAGACACAGTGGCAGATTGTACTTTTTGGACTTCTGTACAATTTGCCGAAGGGTATGTATGTGGTCTATGGTGCTAAAGCATTTTCGGAAATCGGCTTGTTCGGGAGTCTGGAAGTCATCTAGTCTGCGTGCGAGACGATTGGTAAAATAACTCTCAAAAACAATCGGTCTATAGTTCTTCAACAGACCGTTGTCGCTTTTCCTGATCCTCCACGCCTCTGGAGTAGTGCCTCCATGAAGGACGGAATTGAAGAGCTTCTGAAGGACTTTAAGTATCGGTTTTCCATTCGCTTTCAGAAGCTCCGTTGTAATTCCACCCTCGCCTGAGGACTTGCCGTTTTTAAGGTGCTGGAGAGCCACTCTAATCTCGCTCAGACTGACGTCCGAAATATCATCAGAATAGTGTCGGATAAGACTTGCTCTTACATCGTTACTCACACTTGCGTGTGACTCCAACGATGACGTGTTCAGCTGCCCATAGAACCTCTCAATCTCACTCAGAATCTCAGGTGTCCCAGAAACGATTCTGCCTCATTCGGTCTTCATGTTTGACAGTTGGCTCTTTCTGGCAGACAGATCTCTGGCAAAGACTTTGGAGCCCTGCTTCCGCTCGATCGCTTCTTCAACACGAGCTGTACTGAAGTTGAGTAAGTCCCGCCGCATGCATTTGGAGATCTGTCTGTTCAGTTGCCTATATGCTGTCAAATCTGCTGAAGACTCCAGCTTCATCTCCCGTCTAACAGCCATGAGATTTGATCGGTGAGCCATTAAGAGCGTGATCGGTGAGTTTTTGTTTGTTTGGCTTAGCTTCGATCGCATGGACAGTTTCCACAAGCTTGTCATTCATATCGTTTACTTCAATTCAGTCTTCTAGGCACTGAAAACAATACTGTAACTTGGCTAAATGTTTTTATGGCTTTGGATTTGAGCACGAGAGTGACGGAGCATTGACTCCATAAGACATGACCTCTCCTACGTCACGTTTAGTTTCAGTGTGCCTCTCACCATTCGGTGATCGCTGCCATTTTTCACCTTTGCAATCACTGAGACATCACTGAACAGTTGTCGTCTGGTTCATAATGAAGTCAATCTCATTTTTTGTCGATCCGTCGGGGCTCGACCAGGTTCACTTTCTGTGAAAAAAGAGTTCATTATAAAGAGTCCCTCTTTTTTCATAAAGTCGGCCAGCTGCTGGCCCCTTGGGTTTCGTTGCCCTATTCCGAATTTCCCTACTTTCAGCTCATAGCTCTCTTGTACCTAGTTTTGCACATATGTTTTGGGAATGCACGGCTCTAGAGATATCCTCATAGATTTCCTCCACCTCCTCATGGGGATGTGCCAAGGCTGGTGCGTGTGACCTTCAACGAACACCCTTTGGTGATTCTGAGTATAAAGTACGCAACCCTCGTCGACACACTTCCAATCTTTACAACATTGTTAACGAGAGAGTTGTGGACGATAAATCCGACACCTCCTAGGAACAGATGGTCGCCTTCCCGGTGATAGAACAAGTTGCCGGATTCAAGGATTACGGTGTTTTTCCCTTCTCTCCGGACCTCCGATAATCCTAAAATATCCCAGCGCAACTTATCTATCTCTTCTTCCAGCTCCAGGATCTTCTCGTATGTCCTCAGGATGCGAGCGTTGTATGTTGCCAGGTCGTGTCATCTTAGGTGGCAGCCCAACCTCCACCGGATATGAGCACCCCCTGCTCCGCCGTTACCATAATCGCCACCGTGGCCAGGAATAGCGGGACCGCCGGGGGCTGGGGATCGTTTCTTTGTGTCGTTGCTCATGGGGGTTATATTGCCATAGTTGCCACGCTCGGCGAGCGGATTGGCAACCGCAGTTTTTTATTGATTTTTGCTGTTATCGGATAGTGTTGCCCATCTTCTGTCTCAGTTTCCCTCTGTCGCCTCTTACGACAACCACGGGATGATATGGGTAGTGGGTAGCCTTACCCGCCACAAACACGGGTAGAATATGTAGAACTAATTACACTTGAACACCATTGTACAACCACATTCTTCCAAATAAATATTACTATTATTACTTATAAATAAATATAAATAATATGTTCATTTATTAGTGTAAGCATTATTTATCCATAAATTATTATAATTTCAGCACATATTGAGTCGAGATTCTGCGTGAAACTATATCAAGATGAATGCTACCCTCTTTTCTGCAATTCGACAAAAACGTGGAAAATGACATGCCCTTGTCGCGGTGATCTATGCAATGGCAACAACACGGAACGTGAGAATGAAGCATTTGCTGTTCTATCAAAACTTGTTGCAAAAACCTTAAATATTCGTATCAAAAAAAGGTCCAGTTCTTCAAACTTTACTTTATCAACTCGAGAACACACAATTGTAATAACTAATGAAACAGACATGGAAGTAAATGTAACTGATAATAATGATCAAATCAATGATTTTGATCAAATGATTGTTGTTACAGGAATCACACAAGAAGATTCTTTTAAAGCAAATAATACAGTTAATATGACCCCTGCTCAAAGTCTTGATGAAGATGACATTTCTGATAATTCAATAAATGATATCAGTACTACAAAAAGCAGCAAAGAAAATAATACAAGTGAACTTGTCATAACTGTAGAACCTAATATAGGAAATTTATCCACTAAGAATGTTGAAACTATAGCACCAATTGCTACGATGGCGACAAAAACTGAATTAGTAAAGGAATCTTTGGCGCACAATTTTATTATAAAACCAAGTGAGCAGTTACCAACAGCAGAAGCACTGCAGCAAAATGTTAGTCCATCTGTGAAAAGTTTAAAAACTACAGAATCCTTAAAAACTGATTTAAGTACACTCGTAATCGAAGAAAGCACTACAGCAAAGCCTACCAAAGCCGGCGAAAATTATGCTGGACAGTTATCAGCAAATATTTTTACGCTTTTAATTTTTATCTTGACCATTTCACCCTTATATTGAAAATCTATTTAACGCATAAAATTTCACATATTTTCTTCTAATTGCAACATGTATTGATGTAAGAAAATCAACGTGATAATATATTCACAGATTTTTACTAAGCACATCAAAGTTTATTGTATCTGATCTCTATCTTAATTGGAATAAAAGTTGTTTGTTTTATAAATTTTGTGATATTAGAGTAGTAAAATGTAAATATATTAAAAAAAGAAGGAAAGAAATTTTTGTGGTACGTTTTTATTTAATTATTTACAAAAAATAATTACATTTGTTTTAATATTTCCTATCCCTTTATAATCTCCCTTTATAATTAATTATAATTAATCGAATGTAAAGTCGTAATTCTTTGATAATTGTCGTTTACTAACTTTGGGCTCTAAAGTTTTTGCACCTTGTATGAAAGCCTCTCTTAAATCTGAACTAAATGGCTTTTTTACCTTTGATTTTTTAGGAACAGGTCCATAATAGTCGTATGTAGGTGGTGGTGGAATTTCTGTTGATACTACATCCGATTTTCTTTTCTCTGGGTTTTGTCTCTCTTCTTCATGTGAGTGCTCATCATCACTTACTTCATTGACTATTGGAGTTGGCTCAGGTGCTTTCATAAAATTCTTATATTTTACATCAACCTTCTTGGTTGTGAAAAATAGACCTTTAGGTGATTCTTCAACAGATCCAATAACTGGCGGAGGAGGAGTTTTTGGTCTTACATCTGCCCACGTTTTTGATATAGTTGTATTTCTGTCTGACGAACCCATTTTTCCTTTTTCATCGAAAACACTGCTAGCGTTTTTTTTAGAGCATTGCTGAGGAGGAGCAAATTCGTCTATTCTTTTAGCCCTTTGCTGTTCCACATATTCTTCTTGTGTAAGTTCTCTGAATTTTTTTACTTTCTCTTCCATACCCTCTTTACCAAGGTCCCATTCGCGAACATAAGCTTCGCGCAACTTTTGTCTCTCTTTCTCTTGCTCCTCTCGAATTCTTCTTTCTTCTTCTTTTGCTTTAGTATCTGCTTCATTTTTCTGTTGAGTTAAAAACTCTAACAAGCATGTAGTAAAATCTTTCTCGTTTCCTGAAAATAAGAAGGCATTGTTATTTACACTTTACGTTGAAATGAATACAATGAAAGTAATATAATAAAAAAATATAAAGAGTAAAATGAATAAAATGAGGATCAATAAAATATAATATCTAATTTTAAAGACAAAATAATTTAAGTGTCATACAACAAGATAATAAAATAATATTTGTATTTTTTTTCATCATTAAACATTTGCAATATGTTTGAGGCACAAGAAAATAACTAAAGCAGTTATAAATTTTCATGACAAAAACAATCATTTTCTGAAGAATCCCTGGTGTAACCAATAAACTTACTCTAAAGAAATTGAATGGGAATAGGCGCATATAACGTTACAATTTCTTGCAGCCGTATTAAATTCTCACTTGTATCTTTGAAATCTTAAAATCTAATTAATACTTAAATGGAAACCAACCCACTTTCATAATATTAATAATGGTATCTATTATCCAATTAAACAAAAATCAAATGAAAGCATATAATAATAATAATTATAATAACCATTTTTATCCGTGGTAGCTCAGGGACTAAAGTAAGTGCTGGGAGTAAATTTTACAGTACGCCAGCAACCAGGCTCAATCCCCGCCGGCAATGAGTGAAGTTGTTAATTGCAATTTTAAGTGCTGAATTATCACTTGCTCGGTAGCAGGAGCCAAGATATTTTAAGCATTAAAAAAATACAAGGTCACCTGGGGCAAGTGTGACAAATTAGTTAAAACTATAATCGACATTTAAATACTTCTACACTGTAAAGATTTTATATATAGAGTTACAGTTTCGTAACATCATTTATTAAGTGGTTGTAATGTTTGATCAAGCATTTTAGTATCTACAAATAGCATTTTGTAATTTGAGGTAATTAAAACGAATTGAGGTGGAAGACTGTCACACTTACCTATCAATGGGGCAAGTGTGACAGTACGCTTCTTTTTATAGTTACTTTTATTATTATCTGTGGTTTTCAACAAAAATGATGAGATGATACTAACTTCGATATATTTTATGATCTATGGAAACGATTTGAACATCCATTTTTGTGTAACAATGAATTTCCCCAAACATGGGGCAAGTGTGACTGTTTCTAACCGATATAGTGGTGTGCCTTTAAATAGATTTACTACTCTACTTACTCTACTAGCTCTAGATGCTTTGTAAGTATAATAAAGTCAATGCCAAGTACAAAATAAAATTTAATTCAGAATGTTAACAATTTATAATAATATAATCATAATAAACGTGACACTGTCACACTTACCACGATGTTAGGTATTAGGTGAGGTTAGTGTAACTGTCTCCATATTTCAAAGAATAATGAATTTCAGGTCACGGAAACATATTACTCTATAAGTACCAATATTATTCTTTATCACTCACCTTGTATCTGGTTTAAAATAACTTAACGAAACACTTAATAACTTAAACTCTTAAAACTGCGCTATCTGTCGCCAGTTGAGTAGTTTTTAAAAATAACGTCTGTTGATAAAATAGTTCAAGCTATGTACTTAACTGTCAGTTTATTCAATAGCTTAAAATTTCCTGTGTAGTTTAATAGATGGAATTAAACCAAAAAACGTGTTCAGGCCACATAATTTGCATTTGTTACACTTGCCCCACTGTCACACTTGCCTCGGGCGACCCCACATGTTTTCGTGGCATTAAAAAACGCAAGGTATGACATTGAATTGGAGCCTGCTATTCAAATTAATTTTTAACGACAATGAATGGAACTAAAATTGTATAAAGTGAAGTGATTTGTTGTTTTTATTCTGACACATGTAGAGTGGCACTGTCTTTTTCCTTCCCTACTTCCAACTAAGGAGATGAAAGAGAGAAAACTATTAAGTCTTTACATGCAAGCAGTAATTTACTTACTCTGTGGTTCTTCTGGAGGTAAACCAGCCCTGGCACGTTGACGAGCCCTAGCAGCTGCAACCCTTGCCGCCAATAATTCGTCTCGCTTCTTCCTCTTTTCTTCTGCTTCCTTTTGAGCTCGCAAAGTATCCTGCCTTTGTCTTATTAACTCTTCCATTTGCTTTTGACGCTCAGTCTCATCAGTACTGAAAGAGTAATATCCCACGCCGTGCATTCTTGCCTCTGAAATGATTTGAACAAAGTAAGTGGTTGGAAGTGATGTCTATGCTAACAATAAATCTTTCTAATTTAAGATATACTAAAATTTTAAAAAATATATAAAATCCCAAAAATGCACATGTGGTAGTTTCATAATGATTTCTTATATTTACGCGAACACTACACATTGAAATAATACTAGTTTTTACGGAATTTATCGCGTATATTTTAACTTTTTAAATACCCGACGTTTCGAACGCTTTACAGCACTCATGGTCACGGGCAGGACTGAGATGTTCAACGTCCATATGTCATAGTTAACCGCGGTTACCATAGATTAAAATTTAACTTTTGTTCCGATCTACGCAGTATGAACTTATGGTATCTTGAAGTCTTGCAGTTGTATGCTTGGGTTGGGATTTAATTTTATTTATTATATGTAGGATCCCAAGCAGATGGTAGCACCCAGCCATCTTCTCTATTGAAATTAGGATGTTTTTTGATTTCAATAGCCTCGCGAATCATCCTTGGAAGGAATCGGTGTTCTTTAGCGAGGATCTGCGGTCTATCAAATCTGATGTAGTGACGGGGGCGATCCTGTACGTGTTCACAGACTGCAGACTTCCCGGAGCGTCGATTCTTCACATCAGCTATATGTTCTTTAACGCGGGTTTTTATTGATCTTTTAGTTTGTCCTATGTAGGAGAGACCACATTCACAATCAAGCTTGTACACTCCTGCATCTTGCAGAGGGACATTACACTTGACCGATGGTAAAAACTGACCAATCTTCTTCAGCGGCTTGAAGTATGTTTTGATGGAAGCGCGCTTCAAGATGTAGTCAATCTTGTCAGTGACTCCTCTAACATATGGCAGTACAGCAGGTACACGCTCGACTGTGGCCGGCTTCACTCGTTCACTGTGATATAGGCGCGGGACTCGAAGCTTGTTGTCATGCAAAACTTGCTTGACATGGTGGAGCTCTGCAGCCAGGTGTTTACTGTCACAGATCCCTCGTGCTCTCTGAAACAAAGATTTACCCACGGTAGCTAACTGTGAAGGATGGTGGTGAGAATCACCGTTTAAATATCTATCTGTATGGGTCTTTTTTCTATACACAGTATGGCTCAAGGTGTTATCAGGATTCCGAATTACTAACACATCTAGAAAAGCTAAGGAATTGTTTGCCTCTAACTCCATTGTGAACTGAATTTTAGAATTTATAGAGTTAAGATGGTCTAAAAATGCAGTTACTTTATGTAAAGGTAGAATTGTGAAAGTGTCTACGTACCGCTTGTAGAACCTTGGATTTATGGGAGAACTAAGCAGGGCTTTCTCCTCAAAGTCTTCCATGAATATGTCGGCGACAATGGGAGATACAGGTGAGCCCATCGCCACACCATCTACTTGCTTGTAGAACTCCTCCTTCCACAATAGGTAGCCAGATGTAAGGCAGTGTCTGAGTAATACTGCATATTCTACGGGCATGTTGTTTTCTTCCAGCCTTCTAGTTACAATTGAGATGCAGTCTTCAGCAGGTAAGCATGTAAACAATGACTGCACATCAAAACTGACCATAGTTTCATTGTCTGCCAGATGTAGGTCTTTAATCTCGCTGACAAAATGGTAGGAATCCTTTATGTGTGCTCTTGTATGTCCCCTGAGTGGTGAGAGTATTTTCGCTAAGTGTTGAACCAATCTGTAAGTTGGTGAATCGATTTGGCTCACTATCTCACGTACCTACGTGCGCCAAATCACCAAAATTGTATGGGTTACCAAAAATACACAAGCCCAATGCTCCATTACGTCCCATAGTGAGCCAAATCGATTCACCAACTTACAGATTGGC